TAAAAAAGGTAGATCTTTGGGGGGGAGGGTACCATATATATATGTGTGTGTGTGCATCTCTTGCTGTACATATCTTAAGATGTGGGCCTGAGCTCCGGCAGAACGTGCTGATAAGGAGGTTCCAAGCGGCGAGACAGGAGTACCTTCTTAAATAAGCCTTACATAGCCTTACTTACCCTTATAATCACAGTTGCCATTTCATTGTCCGTATTCTTTGCCCTTGATTCTCCATGATTACTGTTATTTTGCTAAATATTTAGGCATCTGAGAATGCAGGACCTCACTTTCTTGTCTGCCGAAGTGCTCCAGAATGTCGTTCAAGTCATTCAGGTCTACCTGGGAATACGGAGCCACCTGCACAAAATCTGCAGGGAGTAGCGGAGAAGTCAACCGGGAAATAAATTCGAAAATACCATGAAAACTGGTGGTTTACGGGGATATGTAGGGCTCAGGGTGATATCTTATCAAAGTATGCCCAATGCAGCACATAGCTTCCAAGAATACTATACTTCTCACTGTTTTGAATATCTAGGGGGGTTGCAAGATTTCCTCCATCCTATGTTACGTAACCTCAAACTGGGGAACCGCAGCCTATTAAATCCGACAAGGTTGGAAAAGCACTGAAATGCTGTGCGTGCGCAATGCTATCTACGACTCCCGATTGTGGTTGGATAGTTGGGAGTGAAAGAACATGCGCTATAGGCTTCATAATCGGATTATATAGGAACGACTATACTCAACCCCAAAGCCTTCAACCCTAAACCCTAACATACTACAGGGATCCATCCTTTCCCTCCCTGTACTGACCCCCCAGTCAGCCATGGAAACATACAGCCATAAATCGAACTTCCAGACCCCACCAATCCGTTGAGCTGTCGTGTCCCCATCTAGAACCCTCGAGCTTCAAGAGCTCCGCAAGCATAGGCAGGGAGGAAAAACAAGTGAGGTGATTGCTCTGCTGGCCCCCCAGTGTCTGTCTAGGTTTTCCCTGCTGAACAGAACCTCCGGCTTCTCTTTCATCCCACAGGGCCGTAAGCGTCTGGAGCAGCACTGCGTTGCATTTCCCGAGTGCTATGCGCTTGTGTCCGTGAAGCGTCCGTAAGCCTTCGCGAGTGTCGCGCGTGGACTGACTTTCTTCGGGCCGGCCGCCATCCTTGTAACCTCGTAGCTGCCCTCACTTTTGGACCCGCGTGTTTTCGTCGTGCGTCAAAGGTGTCATCAGTGACAGAGATTGGCGGGGGCTGGGGGCGCCATCCTTGTAAATATCGTCGCCTTTGGACCCTTGTGTCTGGAGCGGAAACAAGAATGGAAAGTGTGGAGGGGAGTGGCAAGTGAGGTGGAATGGAGAGCAGAGTGGAATGTGGAATGGAGAGCGGAGCGGAGTGTGGGGAATGGATGAAGAGTGCGCAGAGTGGAGAGTGAGGGTGGCGAGGAGAGCGGAGTGGTGAGCTGAGTTGAGAATGGAGTCCGGAGAATGGAAAGTGGAGAGTGGAGTACGGAGAGCGGAACGGAAGGTGACATGGAAAGTAGAGTGTCCCAGTGGCGTGCGGAGAGTGGAGCTGAGAGTGGAGAGCGGAGTTGTGATGGGAGTGTATTGTGGAGAACGGATTATGCAAAGTGGGTGTGGAGAGTGGGGATGTAGTGGATAGTGGAGTGTAAAGTAGATGGAGTGCAGAGTAGAGAATGGAGAGCGGAGGGTGGAGAGTAGAGAGGGGAGTGTCTTCGTCGTGGGGTTGTGCGCATCGTGTCGTGTGCGACGCATGTAATGTAATCTACGTGAATCCTGTCTGCATTCGAGGTCGTGGGCTCCATCAAGTTGTGTTTCAGAGGCCCTCTCAATCCCTCACCTTGATCTTAAAACGCCCACACCCTCCTGCTATTAAACATTCCCACTGTGGTGTACTATAACAAACTGGAAGCATATATTCAATATTCGGTGATGGGGGTTGTAGCATTGAGGGGAGGGAACTGCCTGGCAACTTGAGCTATTGTAGGGTTTTATAGGATTTAGGATTTAGTTAGGGCTTACACCCAAAAGGTGCACCCAATTTATGCTAATCCCCTGGTGGAGACTGTATAGGGATGATGTTCAATCTCATCCATGTTTTGGGGGGTTGCTGGGCAAATCTGGACACGGCTATTTGATTCAAAACATAGCAAGCCCCTGCCTCCTCCGTTATTTTTGCCACTGCGTCTTTGTCTGGATTGTGGATGCCTCACTAAAGTCTTTTCTCAGGGCAACATGCAGGCTTCAAGGTGGGATTACCTCAAGACTATCTGTAAGAGGTGCCTTCATGAAGCAACTCTTTTAAGAAATAGACACGGGGTGCCTGAGGGCCTGGTCAACATACATAGGGTACTGTCCCACACCAGGAAGAGCTGGTTTTGGAGTTGAAGGTTTAGGAGGGGAATATTAAGGGCTGTATGTACTTATCTTACAAATATTACCCCACAATATCCAAGCCATTCACGCTGTCTGGGGTGCTGTTCAGGAGCTTAGATTCACCACAATGGGTTCTCTTTAAAACATGTATATTGTGGTGATATATGTAACTATGTAAAGCTTAGGGTAAGTTGCCATAAAGGAGAACCAAATGGATGAAACATAATATAGGAAATGAAATGGAAGCTGGCGTCGTATAGGGTTTATGCGGGGAGCTGAGGAACTGAAACAAAGTTGCCCAAAATTTGGAGATGTCGTAATCAATAAGGCCCCCCCTATAATTGCAACTTAGCTTATCAAGTTCCTTTACAGCAACCCAATATGTTCCTCCCATCCGTCATGCTTGGATCAACACATGCCTACGCTGAAACCGTCTTGGAAAACATATGAGTAGTGTGTTTTTGGTGGTTGCATCAAGGAAGGTTACGCGCTGATAGGTCCCATAGACACTATACTCAAAAGGAGGAATAATCTTACAATCATGTGGAGACTATACCAATCATCCCCATTCATTAAGCACCATGCTAAACCCTAAACCCTAAACTCTAAACCCTGAACCCTAAGCCCTAAACCCTAAACCCTGAGCCCTAAGCCCTAAACCCTAAACTCATGCCATAGGCCGCCATCTTCGATGGTGGGCGGCGCTTAAGCCCCTCGACATCGATGGCGGAGGTCGATCCAGCACGCTCGCCTGCCTTCCCACAGCCAAGGGTACGGTAGCACCCACAAGAGGCCAGGTATTTGGAGGAGTTCTGTTCGGGACGAGTACTGGTCCCTTATAAAGTCAATACCCTAAACCTTGTAACCAAAGCTCTGGTTTTTTCCAGGGTGGATGCTGGGGCTCTGCGAGTGAATTTCAAGTCCAGCACCCTCCCAAGGCAGGGCCTCCCAGACCAGTCCAGGGCTTTCCAGGGCTTAGGGCTCCCACGGCCTCAAGGGCTCGTAGGGCCTTTCACGGAGGCCTTGAACCTTCCAGCCTGCCAGGCCTGTACCATTCTTCCTTCATGATGTTCAACTCCAAGTTGCCGTGGAGTTCACTGTCCAACTTGGCCTGATTGTTTGTTCGAACCCTTTTTAGATGTTTCTCGCCTCTTGGCTATAGAAATGTTTCAAGACAGCCGAACATCCAAATGAGAAGGTGTTGTTGGCCAAGATGGACCTAACTGAGTTTAGGTCCTAAACCCCAAAAGGAGTAGGTTTGGGTGGCTTGGCCACCTTAGACGGCGTGGGGTGGGTGAATGTGTTAGATGGCCTTCTACACTCAGGCCATGGCGGCACCTTGCATGCAGCCATGTACATGCCTCTTGCACGGTACTTCACAGCAAACCCTAAACCCTAAGCCCGAACCCCTCAACCATAAACCCTGAGCCCTAAGCCCTAAACCCTGAGCCCCAAACCCTAAGCCCTAAGCCCTAAGCCCTGACCCCTCAACCGTATACCCTGAACCCAGAGCCCTAAACCCTAAACCCTAGCCACAGGTCCAGGCCAAGGTCTTCCATGGCTTTGCAGACGAGCTCCTGCTGCAAAATCTGTGAAAAGCGAATCTGTGAAAGTGAAGGGGTTTAGGGGTTGGGGCTTAGGGCCTAGGGTTTAAGGTTTAGGGTCAAGTGGGTTCTCAACACAGCCCCCAGACAATCCAAAGACAGCCCTGTTCGTTAGGGTTCAGGGCTCATGGATTCTGCATTCACCCCCCCCTAAACCCTAAGCCCCTAAACCCCTAAACCCCTGAACCCTAAAGCTGCTGTGCAGAAGTCTGCAGACCAGGTGCTATCACCTGGTCGCTTCAAGGAGCTTCATGATATCTTTAATGGGAACACCAAATGGGGCTTGGGGTTTAGGGTTTAAACGATGTAAGGAGCTGGGCAGATGTATTCCCATTTTTCCTACGAAATTATGGGGGTTCCCTGTTTGGGGTTCCCACTACAGCCCCTCAAAGGTATCTATATTACGAAGCAACTACCTCATCTATAATAACAAATTATGAGAAGCTATACGATATTTCCTGATTGCAACTTAGGTGCTTCCGTACCTAGCATGAAAGTCTAATACATCCGGCAATGCAACTCAAGCAGCCAAGCAAGATCTGGATCAAGACCTGCAGAGCGCCCCCTTTTTTCAGTCCTTGGAGATGTCTGGTCTGCGAGCATGCGTTCATCAAAAGATGCTTTGCGTCTGTAGCAATGAAGATGGCAACCACTTCAACTTTACGCGCTTTTTTGGGCAGCTTGGGGCTTAAGCTTTTTGAGGGTGACCCTCACATCCCCACGAATCTGCTGACTTATGCTTACTGCCGCATGTAAGACTGTGAGTTCGTGTGGTACGCGTGGGACTGCTTAGCTGCGCATTCTGAAGTTGAAGGAGTTAAAGCGGTGTGGCTTTCAAGGAGCACGGGGTCTTTCCGCCTGAGGCGGGAAGAAGAACTGTGGGCGTCGGTTGGCATCGGGCTCAAAGGTCAGTTCGGATCCACTGAAGTGCTGAAGGAGAGCTCTCCATCCTTGAATGCGGGCAAAATTAATCTGTACCGTTCGATCTGGCCGGGCGCCAAGCAAATTTTCCAGCAGCCGCAGGTTCTTGCACAGGCGCACAACATCTGCGGAGTCCTGGAAATCTAAGAAGACATAGCCGCATGGGCGGTTTCGTGCTGCATTTATGGGCATGTAGTAGAACCTCACCTTGGTGAGCAAGGAGAGGTCTCGCAAGCGGACCAAGAATCGGTCCGGTTGGCAGGTCTTTGGAATTCTGGCCAGCATGACTGTCGTCCGCATGTCCTCACCAAACTCCAGCCTGTCAACCTTGATAGAAAGCAGTGCAGAGGTATCCTTGGATCGTGGAAACGGAAGGGGTACATCGTGCGCCAAGGGAATGTCTACCCGCCCTTGCTGTCCTTGCGCACTAGGAGCCGGCGCGGCCGGACCTTGGGGAACTTCAGAGCTAGAAGCCCCTTCTGTTTGGCTCCTGCCCTGATCTGAACTGCTTGAAATTCTGGAGGTGTCCCCTGGGCAGGCGGTGGTGGCACCTGTATCTGAGACGTAGCTGGAGATTGCATGGGCCTCCCCAGCCAGAGATTCCTCATCGCTCTCCACCTCACGCGTCTCTACAGCCGCTGTTTCGGCTGCGCTAACCTGGGTCATTGTTTAGGGTTTCGGGCTTAACCTGGGTCATTGATGGCTCTTAGCTTGAGGGTTTAGGGTTTAGGTTTGGGTCATTGATTGGGGGTTTCCCAAAATCACGGGCACTTTTACACGGGAAACATAGGGGTTATATGGCTGGTTGTCAAGATTATGGTCCCTTTTTGGATCCCTATTATAATAGGGCTCCTAATATTTAGGGTAGAAAAAAGGAACATAATTTTGATAACCATCCATATAGGGCTTAGGGTTTCCCAGAACTAGGGATGCCTTTTGGGTGTCTGCATAACAAGGACTCTAGTACTTGGTGGCCTGACTACTATTTAGACTTCTTGTTATGCGAATGCCTCATAGGGAATGTATAGAAGTTTCAAAGGCCAACAATTTGATGATGCGATTTTAATGGTATCCCAATAAGAGCTATAATCTAAACTCCTAGTATCCCCCTTGACAAGCCCAAGAGTACTCCCCATAGCCCCTATATAAGCCCCCCTTAAGGAGTTTAGGCTATAGCCCTAAACCCTAAACCCTAAACCCTAAACCCTAAAACGCTAGAACCCTAAAACCCTAAACCCTATACCAGGAACTGGTAACCTCAGAGCTGTCTGCTTCTGCAGACCTACACCAGCTGGGTAGGCACATTTCGCCATACTTGCTACCTGTAGTAGTCACATGTACGAGACAATAGGATACTATGTGGCAATACTTTCGGCTTTCCCCTACCTAGCCATAATCCTCATAAACGACTCTATAACCCAAGTTCCAAGTTCATGTTCACGTTCCTTCTCCTATTTGATCCTCTATCAATGCTGAAAACTTCAGTTTTCATCCCTACCAACCCTCGACCCGAAACCCACCCTGAATGCCAACTTGGGCTTTCTTGTACCTACCCCAATCCCAACCTCTGGGAGGATCTAAGAAGGGCTTAGGGTTTAGGGTTTGAGAACTAGATCCTCTTTAGAAGTCCATGATGACATGTGGGAGCATACTCTTAAATGATTTTGGGGCGCGCGCACCCAAATCCTAAGCCCTAAACCCTAAACCCTACAAACCCTATAAACCCTATACCCTAAACCCTGTGAGCCCTAAATCCTGCAAACCCTGAACCCTGTAAATCCTCTAACCCCAAATACAACAAACCTGCCGAGGGGCCTCTACTACTTCTGTCGGCGCGGCGGGACCCGCCTCATGAACCGCGTCATCTGGCGGAACCGCCTGGAATATGGTGGGCTTCCACACAGCTTAGGGTTTGCGCTTTAGTTTTTGGTTTTTGCAGCGCCTCTGCTTTAGGGGTTTAGGGTCTAGGGTTTTAGGGTTTAGGGCTTACGGTTTTGGGAATATGGTGCTTGCCACACAGTTTCGCCTGCTGGGGTCAGTAAGGAATAAGGGAGTATATTATATGGGGGTTATGTAGTGATTGTATTCCTTTGGCCCTATGAACCACGTGTCAGTTACCCTAAACCCTACACCCTACAACGCGTTGATAGCACACCTCTTCTCCACAGTTTTCATCTGTCAGAAATGCTTTGCAGCAAGGTGTGTTCATGGTAGGCCTGTACGGAACCACCTAGCTTGGGTTCTGCTCCCACGCAGTAACAATCTGGAATAGGGGTATTAAGGCTACATACAAGGCTTTATAGATTCATGTCAGAAATTTTATCCAGCTGTTACCCTCAAACCCTAGACTCCCGAGAACCTAAACCTTCTAGTCTAGGGTAGGCTGACCAATTCGACCCTTGCACCCTCTATACAGGCTCTTGGCTACCTCATCCGAGCCCGCCTCCAAAGCCCCCCGCTGCAATGAGACGAGAGTTGAAAACTAGGGGGCCCCTGTGCATAGATTTTCACCTATCTATTTATCTATCCATCTATCTATATCACTTTCTATGTATACTTATGTTTATACGCATAAACGCAGTTCAGGGTTATAGATTTATAAATATGTGCAGAGTAGTGAGGGAGAGGGGCTGCTGCAGTGATCCGCGGGTCGTGCGTCAATTACGTACCAGATACTGACTACCCAGTAGTTCACAGATGGTACTTTCCAGCGTAGACCTCAACACACAATGATCCTTACCATGGGAGCTCCAATCCGGCCATAATTTTCAGACATGCGGTTGAACTGACTACCGCTTGATTAGGTTGATTGTCAGCAACTCTGCATCTTCGACCTATTCCTAGGGCGAAGGGTAACTCCTGAAACCCGGATACACGCCCGCATCTTCTGCATTCACCCTAAACCCTTCACCCTTAACCGCTCCCAAACATTGGATGATGGCACATGGCCATATTTATATACTTCCGGAAATGTGTCTCTGATTTGGACTTGTAACTTCTGATGTATGACAAAAGTTCACGGGAAGCTGAAAACGCACGAAAATCTGACAACAAAGAAAAACAGGAAAAAATCAGATGATAACAGAGTCTGCCAAACAAGACTGGAAAACCGCTCTGGTGGTAACTTGTCATGTCTGCGTTCCAGGAACACCAGTGGTTGCATAAGCTACATTCTCGTTGTAGTCTCTAAATGTTTCTACGTTTGATTGCAAATTCCACTGCGCGCGGGACAAAGCCCCCTTCTTTCAAAATCATGAGGGCTCTGCCTGAAGTAGAGTGTAGTCCCATCCGTCTTGTATTGTACAGCCCATCACGCAGTTTGTTTCGACGTTCATGCTTGCTAGCATGCTTGAGCTGACTTGTTAAAAATACACCATACGGCATCGTCATGATCATCATCACCCATTGCTGTTGGCATTAAGATCGTGCTTCAAGCGCTATACCCTAAACCGCGCCTCGAAGTAGGACATAAGGCCACGCCCAGCGTCTGCCACCAGCGCCCTGGCAGCTGCCTTGTCGAAGAAGGAAACTTCCACCAGGCCGTGCCTAAAATCTTGGTGGAGATTGGGGGGTTAGGGTTAAAGGCTTAGGGTGGCTTAGAAATTAGTAGCTGAGTGAGCGAGGCTTAGGTTTTAGGATTCCAGGTCTAGCGCTTAACAACCTTACCATAATCAGAACGGTAAACGTATTGTGGACCAGCAAAACCAGCAGCTAGGGTGGGTACGCCAAGACGATTGTGTGGAATTTTCAGGGCGCACGTGTGGACGAATAACAAGCGGGAGAACTGATTATGGCAGATGGAGGGTTGGGACTTTGAGGTGCCAAGGAAACCCTAAACCCTAAACCGTGAACCTCTTTGCGCGTGAGCTCCTTCCTTATGCTTCACTCTGTGCTTAGCCTGCAAATGGCATGTATGAGCTACGGTTTAGGGTTTAGGGTTTAGGGTTTACGTAGGGGTTTAGGGTTTAGGGTTTGACAACGCTTAGAGGACGCGGGCATTCCTTGGGGAATGTATTTGGGGACCGTACTAAGTTACCACAGGGACCCGCTTAGGATGCAAATGGGCTTGCAGGCTTAGGATGTGTATGAGCCATAGTCTAAACTCCTAGTATCCCCCTTAATAACCCCTATAGTAGACCCCTATATAATCCCCCATATAACCCCCTTTAAGGAGTTTAGACTATGGCTCATATGGTAACCTACTCCCCCTAGTAGTAAACCCCCGCCTATTAAATACTCCCGATATATTACGATACACCACATACTGGGAGCATTTAATGTTTTAAGGGGGTTGATATTAGGGGGAGGAGGAAATTGTAAATCCGAATGCTCTCAGACACCCTATGCAATGCTTCAGCCAGGGCATCTGCATCCCATCCTCCCTAAACCCTAAACCCTAAAGCACCCTAAACCCTTTTTGAGCTGAGGCCCGCACGTAAACCCTAAACCCTAAACCCCCCTAAACCCTAAACCCTAAACCCCCCTAAACCCCAAACCCCCCAAAACCCCAAACCCTATATATGAAATTTCAATATGAAAACTTCAGACAGCAGTGTGCAGGATGCAGGGTTTAGGGTTTAGGGTTTGGGACCTGGATCCTTAACCCTTCGAGACCGAGACCTTGCCCTAAACCCTAAACCCTTAGGGTTTAGGGTTTTGGGTCTACACCCTAAACGCTCTGAAACCCATTCCGGAAGCCCTGGGGCACAAACACCAAACCTGACGAACTCTTCCCTGGAAATGATTGAATCTGGGTGGCCCGTCTATTTGATGGTTGAACCAAGTTATCTAGGGTTTCTGGTTTAGGGTTTAAAACATACTGAAAGGAAGGATATAGTCTTACTCTGTTTTCTGGACCATAGCTTCCCAAAAAAAACTCAATACCCATCTGGGCCGTAGTCTAAACTTCTAGTATCTCCTTAATAAGCCACGTAGTAGTCCCGATATAATCCTTTATATCAAGCCCTTCCAGGACTTTAGACTATGGCTCATCTGGGGTCGAGGAGCTTTAACAAGCCATTGAGGTTGATAGACGCCACATTGCCATACCTTGGCTTGCGCGTACATGGAGGGTTGTCAAAATTATGGTCCCTTTTTGGGTACCCTAAATATTAGGGGCCGTATTATAATAGGGACCCAAAAAGGGCTCATAATTTTGACAACCACCCACATACGGCTAAGAGTTTAGGGTTTAGGGGGAATGGGAGTTGAACACGTTCTAGGGGCCTAAATTGCTAATCGCCACTGTTGCAAGTATATCCCCTCAATAAGTGCTTAGGGTGTAGGATTTAGGGTGTATGATTTAGGGTTTGCGACTCAGGTTGTTAATCCCGTCCCCTGGGATTGAGACCCCCCAACCCCCCTAATATTCAATGTTTCCACTAGGTTATGATATACCACAGCAGGAATATTTAACGTTGGAGGCTGGGGGTTTAATTTAGGGGGAAGGGATTCCCAACAATGGAGAGTGAAATGGAAAATGAAAGGAAAATGAAATGGCAGCTGGGTGTGTATAGGGGTCCCTAAACCCTGAACCCTTACCAAGACCATGCTGAGGTCTGCTTGAGGTATCCTATACCACACCCAAGCAAGGAAGCTAGGACCATACTATTGGTGATGACTATTTAGGCCCCTGTACTATGTGGACAGCACAGGCA